TTCTTGTTCTCAAACTTTTAATATATCTTTCATGAAATTGTTTAGATGTTGTTTTAATTTTTTCTCTTTGAAATGGTGATAACTATTTAAAAATATTTAATAAAACATCATTAGAAATTTTGTTCATTTTTTTTGTTTTTTTTTGTTAAGGTAAATGTAGGTTTTTATATAATTTATTTAATATTATTTAACAATTATTATAAAATGCACATATGGTGTTTTAGCACCTATTTTGATTTTATATTGTGTAACTTTATAAACCTGTAATACTATGTATAAAGCACAACATATAGTAATTTTTTACCTATTTTGATGTAACCTTATACGTAATTCTGTGATACTATATATATTTGCATGACAATCATTAAAAAAAATTAATCTCTTTTCTGTAAAGGTAAAAAAAAGCAATTGTTTTCTATAACAGTATAATGGCAAATAAAAATATGTATAAGATCGAAGATATAGGGTTATCATTATTGTTTGATAATGATAATGAAATTAGTTTATTCCCTGTAACAGAAAATCTACAACTATCTTTTGTACCATTAAATAAAAATATATTTAATACTTTTGAACTCGATGATCTAGAATTATACTTTGTTAGTAATAACGATAACAGGTCAAATTTATTTACTGAAATTCTGGACAACAATGGTCAATTAATAACTGAAGAAGATAATAGCTTAACAGATTCTAAAAATGAAGTAGATGATATATATGATATGGAAAAAGATCTATATCTCTTAACTAAAGAGAAATGTTTTTTAGATTGGGATGAAGTTAAAAAGTAAAAAAAGAAAATGATATTTTTTTTTTATATTTAGTTATATCCATATTATAAGCACATACTAATAATATTAGTTGGTTTAACAAACATGGTTGTGAACGAGGATTTGCATTTTCATTAGTAAAAAGTAAAAGAGACAAAACTGATAGTACTTCTAGATATCATATTTACTATTGTTCAAGAGAGCATTGTTATGAAATACAAAAGAAAGCATATACATTAGAAGAGCGAAACAAACCTCATGAAAATATTAAATATCACTTTCATGTCAATTTTCAAAGATGGAAAAGTGATAATCAAATACATATATCAGGTATAGTTGGTGAGCATTTGTATCCAATGGTTAAAAATATCTAAATATCTGCACCTCAATATCATCCATCACCTTATGCCAAAGATGCGAGATGACATAAAACTTCTTGCTAAAAGCAATGTATATACTGGAGCAATTATCAATGTATTAACATGCAAGTATCCAGACAATTATATCTACCCATGCAATGTGTACAATATCATTCAAACAATCAGAGTAGAGAAAGGAAAATTAAGTGATGCAGGAGCTACGTATAAAGAATTAATGCATCAAAAACAGGAAAAACCTGGTTGAAATATAGATGCAAAGTTCAAAGGAAGTGATAATCATCTTGCAGGACTTATTTAGTTATATCCAAAACAAATTGAGATTTGGAGTCAGTTTCATGATGTTGCTTTACTTGATACAACTTGTAAAACAAATTGTTTTAATATGATAATATATATTATAGTTTGTATAGATAATCATAATCAGTCTCATCTTGCTGCAATGACTTTAATTTTAGATGAACAGAAAGTGATATTTGAATAGATTTTACAAGGATTACTTAATGCAATGGGAGGATTAGCACCTAAAATTGTCTATACAAATGCAAATCCAGCTATGATAAGTGTAATTAAAAGCGTATAGTATAGTACGAAACATCATTTTTGTTTATTTTATATACGAAAAAACTTTGAAAAGCATTTCCTTTTCAAGTTCGGCAGAGAAAAGTTTAAGAATTTCTTTTCAAGCTTTTTCTGGGCTCACAATGGCATTACAAAATTGAATTTTGAGAATAAGTGAAGTAAGGTATTAGATTACTATCCTGAAGCACAATATTACTTGATGCGCCAGCTTTATCATTACCAGAAAGTATGAGTCCTTGCTTTTACGCATCGTTTTTTCAATTGTGGTATACAATCAAAACAAAGAGTTGAGGTTTATAATGCTATCCTTAAAAAATCATTAAATGGAACAAGATCATTAATGGAAGTAGTTAGTATGATTGAACAACACTTAGCAAGAGAATTTCAATTTGTTAGACTTAATGAAACAATTGGAGAACTATCATATAATATGCTTGCTTCATATCAAGATCATTATTTTAAAACAATTAACAAAATTTGTAAAAGGTTTCTTACACCAGCCATGTTAAAACTTTAATGCTATCAAATGAATCAATGTATACATTACTGAGCCTATTGTTCAAATTTAGAAAATGAGTTACAAAAATAGCAGAAACATATTAATAATGAAGCAGTATATACTTAATATAGATTTTTTTTTTTTTTTTTTTTTTAACTATGTTCTATAGATATTTGGTTTAATTGTTAGTTTATAAACTTTCAACTTTTTAATTTTTATTTAGAATACACCAGAAAATATGTTTAGTGAAGACTTATACGATGAAGTATTTGTTAAACTAACTGAGCTACTTCATAGTATTAATTTAAATAATATTAAAGAACTCTGGGTAATGTTATGTCTAGATCATTAAAAGCATCATTATGTCATTAATCTCGATACTGCTAGTTATGTGTATACTTGCTTAACACTTATACATTATAGAATAGTTTGCTACTATTTTTTCGCTGTTTTACTAGAAAGTATTATCGCACAGTTTCATATTAGAATTTTAGCAAAATGTTGGTTTAGTGATCAAGTAATACAAAAAAATAAAGCAATTGATGAAGAATATGTAATATCAATTCAAACTAAACAAGGCTTTGGTATATTTAAATATGATATTAAAGCCAATTTCTCTTTAATCGATTCAATGCATAGTTAATATGTCTTTACTTCCAAAGTTTAATATCATTTGAAGAGGCAGGCTCTTTATAGTAGGGGCTTTGGCCTAATGAAAAAAACTCTGAATCTAGCAATTGAGACTAGGTGTGCTAAGAAATTGTATAAGTTGTATTAGCAGTTTATTGAAGAAATGAAAAGACAACTGGAGGCATGGCAAGGGCATGTTGGTTAATCAAATAAAGAAAATAATTATTATAAAACAATTAACAATCTCTCACAGTCACGAATGAAAGAACAAAAGCATAATAAATGCATAGCCACATTTGATAGTTCAAGTGCTTGGAAGAGAGTATTTAAGAAGACAACTAACATATAGCATAATATAAGAACAAGTAGCCTTATTACAAGCAGTGAGTCAATTAATTTAGATAGTGCTGATAGACAGAGAATAATTACACAAAACAAGGGTTCTGAAAAAGCACATAACGAACAAATTCAATTACTTCAAAACCCGGAGCAAGGTCAAGGCAAGTATATTTAAAATTATTGTCTTTTGCAATGGTTAATTTATTAATTAACCTTATTATTTTTAACTATATGGGGTTGAGTCAATAGAAATCAAGCAAATATTTTTTAATAAATTTTTTTAAAACTTTAAACAAGAATAACT